ATAGCTCAGAGGTGATATACGCTTGCATGTGGCTTGGGTGCTTAGTGGAGGCATTTGGCTATTCACTGTTGAAAAAAGAATGTTGGACTAGATGGAAGTCTGGCTCTTGTCCAGCAAGACCTTCCTCATGCAGAAGATCTGCTCTGCATGAGCTGTGGCCTCTCCACACGCACCAGTGTGCTGTTCTAAATAGCTTTATTGAACTGGAAAAATAAATAGTATCCTTCAGGGCTGGCTATACTTCTACTTTGGCTTCATGCTTAATTATAGCTTTTAGTTTATATTGCATACACCTGGGATAGTGTATATTTATATGTATTTATATATATTGCATACACCTTGGGATAGCAATTAAGTCTACCGTGTAATTTTTCATGCTCTTTCATCAACCACAAAACTCTATGCCATCTTCACATATTTATAAATATTTTAATTTCAGTCCCTTTTTGTGGTGGACTACAATAAATTCGAGAGTGAGAAGGTAGCCATAAAAACTAAATTATATTGTCAACTTGTATATTTAACATGGTGGGCGACTTAGTAGCTCAGGGTGGTTACTGAGGCTGGAGAGGAAATTGCTCACAGAAAAGCAAACTTATTTAGAGCCATTTTTTTTCTTCAGCTGTTAGTTCATTTTTGTCTGGAAGAACGTTGAAATAACTCTAAATTAAGCTTGACTTCATAAACACAGGCTTAGCATTGACTCTCATTCATTTTTTCCTTACTTCACATTTTCCGGACATTTCCTGCCAAACGGTATAGACTCTTTTTTTCAGAGCAGATTACTGCCAGCTTTCTCCTAGTTTCCTTTTCAGTGGGCACCATAACAGTTCTTTTGAGCTGTTGTTTCCTTTGAACTATGAAGAAGCAGAATAGAAATATTAGAGTTCTGGGAACTGGCGATCTGGTTGCACCTTGTTGTGGAATAAATTAAACTTACTCTGATTCAGTGACTATATGATTTGATATAGCCTCAGCTGGAATAGATACTGCCTTTAGGTAAAACATTTTTTCAGACCTCAGAACATTTAGATTATTTCCCAAACAATTTTCCATTAGGTACAGATCTTTAAAGTGTCTTTGTCTATTATTTCTGTGCCAGTTATTTATTTATTTTTATTATATTTATTATAATGTTCAAGTTACAAACCAGATTATACCTTTAGGGCAAGAGAATACCAGATGTTCTGAACAGCAGGTATTGGGGACAAGCAAAAGGAAAGAGCTGGTGCACTCATGACCTGCTTGTAAGCTTCCCAGGAATGTCTAGATGACCATTGTTGAAAACAGAATGAAGGCCTAGATAGATATTTTGTCCATTCCATCAAATCTGGTTTTAGGATCTTAAAAGTGCAATCCAATCCATGCCTACTCAGACATAAGCCTCATTGACTTCAGGGGTACCCAGGTAAATGTGTCTAGGATTGCAGCCTTTCTCAGTGTATGACAAACCATTTGGTATTGTTGTTTTTCATTCTGAAAGGAAAGGAATCTAATGATGCAGCATGCAGGCAGAAATATGAAAACAGTGAATGGAACTTCTCTGCCGTGAGACTCCCTAAAGCCTGAAACTGAGCATCTTCACAAATATTTTGGAATTCAGTAGCTTTTCTGTGTCTTTGTCTTGCAAAATCAATCCCATCTTCACAATGCGTTAATACTGCCCCTCTATAAAGATGTTCTTTCTGCAGCTGTAGTGCACTCCTTGGAGACCGGATCTTCCTCTTCCTTGTTAACCTCCCCAGGGTTGTCTTTACCCGGGGGTGCAAGAGGTGTGGTGCACCCAGGCACCTAATTCTGGGGGGCGCCCACCGCTGAAGCCGCTGAAGCTCTTAACCGCAATCTCCGGGTGATTGTGGTCGATGGGTCCTTTCCGTTCTCTTTTGCGGAAGTGCTGCAGAATCAATGTATCCGCCCCCCCCCCCGTGCAAAATCAGAAAGACAGAGTTATCACTGTCGCTTCCCCCCCACCCCATGTTAGTGGTTTTCACTGGCCTCCTCCCATTCCTAGGGTTTCTTCACTTGCACCATGTGATTCAGATTAAGCCACTTTCTTTCCCCCCTCCCCCCCAGCCCTGCAACGGCCTTTGATTTGGGTAAAGTTGATTTGATTCCCCCTCTTTGTTGCTGATGTAGATCTTCATTCACTCCCTTGCTCCTGAGGTAGATATTTATTCCCCCCTCTTGTACCTGATGTAGATCTTCACTCACGCCTTCTTCCCTGGCAGGGGATGGGACCATTTTGTGTTTAACCTCAGGTGACAAACTGTCTTGGGCCAACTCTGTTTCCCTGTTAATTTTGCCTTTGTAACAAACTTTCCTTCTTGCCTTTCCCTGGTGTGCTAAGCCTTCAGGTCCCATGTTCCCACTAGAACCACAACCTTTTCCTCTCCCTGGTAGTACCCTGAGCCCTAGAAGTCTAGAAAGCACTGTGCTTGCTTAGATACACATAAGCGACGTAGTACAGGTGGAACTCAGCCTACCAGAAACTGAATGGATTTCAATCCCAACTGACTGAATGGATTGTAGTGTATCCAACAGAAGGAAACAAGTAACACAAGACATCCCATGATGAGCTCTTCACACTCTACTTTCTGTGGACTGGAGATGGCTGTCCTTTCTGCAGCGGAGGAACTGCCTTTCTAAAACTGTTCCAGTTTAATTTAATTAATCTTGTTGAAATAATTCTACTTTGAAAATTACAGCTATAATTGAAGTAACTTAATTACCTGCTATGTCCTTTCCTTAAACACTTGGGACAATGTTATTGCTATATAATGTAAAACTCCTGCAATAAAAAACCAAATTTACTGAGTAAAAGAACAAACTTCACTTTTATGCAATGCAACTGGCAGATGGTACTACAAAATCAATTTCCTTAAATCAGCTCCCTTTGCCCTTTCCAATAAATGTGCTTACCTGGAAACAGTAAAAACTGTTTTCCTGGAACTTTTCTAGGTCTAATGCTAGGCCTAGTGACCTCCACAGAAACAAAAATACTCTGATATAATGCAAATTGTTCTCCAAAAGCATTGGGTTGGCAGCAGCTTGGTATTGGTGGACCCTTGGGCTTTCCCCTTTCCTCCTCAGAAATTTAGAAGGGTTTGCTGTTGTTTCCTTGAAAGAAAGGGGGTGACTCCAGCTTTGTTTGCTAGCTTGGAAAGAAAGAAAAATAAGCTGAATGGAGTTTGGAATTGTCTTTCCAAGCCCTCAAAGCTAAGAGGCAGTGTTTTTGTTTTTGTTTTATCCCATCCTTCCCTTTCTTCTTTTTTCATGGATCTCCTTGCAGAAAAACATCAAGAGGCACTCTCTAGGAGTGTGGACAACAGGAAATTTGAAGATGGACAAAGCAAAATTGACCAAAGCAAAACTGAACAGTGGAGTGAAATCCAATCCTCAGTGTGTGTTTGCTAGAGATTTGCAGCAAGGTGGCTTGTGAATTTTATGGAAATACTGTCTGGGCATTATCCTAGTGCTTTAAGTTGCCAATAATGTTAAGGTTTGAAATTTAAATAATGAACCCTAGGATGAAAAAACCATAGTCTCAAAATCTGGACAGAGAACTAAAATGTGGATCATTTGCTGTTCTTTGCAGATGGGTTGTCTTCCAAGATGTACCAGAGTGAAAAATTGATGAATTTACCAGTTTTTTTCTGTGAAGGGCAGGGGGTCCATACAACCTTTATTTTTGTGGAAATAGTATCTGGGAAGTCAAACAACAGAGCTACTGGTATACTTGACACACAGGAAGTACACTTGGAGGAAATGTACCAAGACAACAGGGCACCACAAATCATTCAGCATGCTCTACACAATTAAATAGAAGGAACTTTCTGGAGTTGCTACCTAATTTTGAGAGGATTTGGTGGTTCCATGCCAGCCACCTGAAACCTCATTTTAGTAGAATAGCTCAAAATATTGTGGGCAACACTACAGAATGTTATAACCATGCAAATAGCATCATGTGCTCTGACTATTTGTCAGGCATGCCAAGCGGAAGATTAAGAGCTTCTGCCTTTCCTTCTGATGTGTTATAATGAGCTAATTTTTCTTTCAGACCCAGTGTTGCTCAAAAATATTTGTTTCTGTTTCATTAAAAAGAAGATGCAGTGGTCATACTACATAGTGATATATTTGCCCTCAAGTGCCTGGTTAAGAACCGGACATTTGCTGAGGACCCAACAGGAGCAGCAATGGTGCTGGACAATTTTAAATGGTCTTATTATGGAAGTGGACTCTTCAAAACAGGGGTGGGGAACCTTATATAAACGGTCTTGACCCAGTATACCTGAAGGAGCGTCTCCACCCCCGTCGTTCAGTCCAGACACTGAGGTCCAGCTGCAAGGGCCTTCTGGCAGTTCCCTCACTGCAAGAAGTGAGGTTACAGGGAACCAGGCAGAGGGTCTTCTCGGTAGTGGCACCCTCCCATCAGATGTCAAGGAAATGAACAACTATCTGACTTTTAGAAGACATCTGAAGGCAGCCCTGTTTAGGGAAGTTTTTAATGTTTGAGGTTTTATTGTGTTTTTAATATTCTGTTGGGAGCTGCCCAGAGTGGCTGGGGAAGCCCAGCCAGATGGGCAGGGTATAAATAAATTATTATTATTATTATTATTATTATTATTATTATTATTATTCCATATTCCAGTGCTAGGTGGTACCAGATGTCAGGCTCCCATCCCAAAACATGACATCAGCTTTCCTTACTCCCTATCCTCCATCCAATGCAATCAAAAGACATTATCAGAGTTCAGGGGCACATTTCAGACAAGCAAATGAACTCAAGGAGGGTAAATATTAGGGCTGGGGAGAGTGTTGCTTGGCAGGTTTTATGGTCTGGGGAGGGTCTCCAGGGCCAGGCAGAGAATCCCGGAGAGCTGCATTTGGGCTTTGGCTACCATTCCATGTTTTAAAATGTGTAAGCTTTGTTGCATTTGGAGGTCCTCCTGGCGAGCAGGGTTCTGGCCCTCGACCCCATCCAAGCTTTTTCCAGCCCTACCTGGAGACACCAGAGATTGAACCTAGGGAAGTTCTGCATGCAAGGCAGATGCTTTACCACTGGGCCACCTCACAGAGCAACTCGACTGAGGGCCTAAGAGTCTCCCCAAACCTTAAGCTAACACTGTTTGCTGTGGGTCATGTTAGGTTGGCTATTGCAAAGTCGAGCTAAAAATGTACAGGCTGCTGAAGGGACAGAACGAGGGAAGCAAATGCCACAAGGTTCTGAAAACAGTGGAAATTCTAAAATGATTATTTACTTACTGTTCATTTTATCCTTCTGGGCAAGAGCAAAACATGTTGCCTTATCTCATCCATCCTTGTGACAACCTTTTGATGTCAGCTGGTTGTAATATTGATGTTACAGGTGGGGAACTGGAGCTAAAAGATAATGACTTGCTGAAAGCCAGCCAAAGGGTAGAACAACATGCTATTTACCAGGTTTCACTGGCAAACCTTAAGAAAGTAACTCGCATGAGTCTTTATAAAACCACAATCCTTAGGATTGCTTTTGAGAGCCCCCCTTATGCACACACAAATGGGGAGGTATAACTACTTTTTAAAAACAAATATAAAGCTTTCAGGTGACAGAGCAAAAGGTACAATGCGTCTGTAGAAATCTGGGGAGTAGTACCCAAATGTTCCTTTGGGAAAGTTATGTAATAGGCTTTGGTTAGAAGAATTGAAGCATACCCTTCAAGCGTCCCGATTTTCCAGGGACAGTCACAGAATACCGGCTTAGGATTTGATCTCAGAATGTCAGAATACACAAACGGAAGTTCCCAGCAAGCTGTGCTAGAATGTAAACAGACATGTGACATACAACAATCTACATATCTGTTCCTCTTAGGGTGGAACGGAACATCAATATCCCAACACCTAATTCCCCCACCAGTGCGACTGCAGAGCTTGGTACAGAGGTTTAGCTGGCATTTATCCTGATCGGCAGCAGTGAGGGAGCATCCTGTTGCCTCTCCATGGCCGCTGCTGCTGGCCTCCTTCCTTGGGCAGCGCTTTTGCAGTTGCAGGAGAATGAGCAAGGAGGAGGAAAGGCTGCCATTGCTGAGGCCCAGCCCTGTGTGATGTGCTGGCTCTGAGGAGCAGACAGAGGGCAGGGCCACCCTGGGTTGGAAACAAAGGCGGAGCAGAGTGGAGTGCAAGGAGTCTTGATTTAATAATAATAATAAAAAGCTTTGTGTATCTGTGTCCAATCTTGCCCTTTTCAAAAATGTATTTATTGGTGTGTGCTTTTCTTTTGGTAAATCTACCAAAGAAAAATAAAATACCATCAGGATTAGGGCAGTGGAGGGCATATGAGCTGTGTTCCCATTGGTGTAGTGATGGCTGCACAGGCCCTTCTTCTGCTTGGAAATGCTCTGCAGAGGGCAAAGGAATGGAGGGTTGAGGAGGGTCATTTGGAGTGAGAAATGTCCCTATTTTCATCTAAGGAATGTTGGAGGGGGTTTGTAAGTGTTACTTAGCAGAAACTGTGCTGCCTCTTAAAGGTCATGTCTGAAACGCCTGTACTTTTTTTTGTTTTGTTCTGAAGCCTGCTACATCCACGTGGCATAAACAGGTGGAAAGACCACATCACTCTCATGGAAGAGCTGAGTTTTATAAGTGTCCTGTGCTACTTTTGGCACATGAAACTTTCTATATATATATTTTTTAATAGCTCCGTTGTGGCTTTTTTCAGCCACACCACTTCCTATGTTGGCAATGTATGAGTGGCAGAAAGATTTACCTCTTTGCGGTGTTAACGATCTGATGCAGTCCTCATCAAATCAATGATATTTCTCCCCAGTTGCCTTATTGGCACTTATTTGAAGCCCCTGCCTTGAGTGCTTTCTCTTTATGTGCCCACAGAATTCCACATTAAATACCTGACAGTTTGAGACTTTTGATGTATATGTGCTTCCCTATCCTTTGCTGTCAGAAATGTTCCCTCTGAAGGAAAAAATATGTGCTGTAAAACTGAAGTTAATAGAGGTACTGGGGTGAAAATTAGAAGCCTGGGTTGGCAGAAAAGGAACTCTCTGTTTTATGGTACTTTATATATAGCCAATGTTATATTATCAGGATTCTCAAAGTGACAGAACAACCTTACTGAGGAAGAAGGGGATAGTTGTGAAGGAAAACAAACATTCTACCTTGACATTCCTTTACCCCAATAAGATTGTCCTTTACAGGTTGCTTTTATAGATTGCTTCCCCTATGATATATTGACTGTTTTCAAATACTTTTGCCTGTATTTACACTTACTGTGAGCTGACAGCTGATTGTGAGGTGTAGGAATGCCTAAACATAATAATGATAATAATAATAATAATAATAATAATAATAATAATAATAATAATGCATTGTAGTATTGTGGGGGAGTTTAGCCCCTTTAGATTCATTCTGATCCCTTTCCCTGAATATCCCTTTTTATTGAAGAAAATATTCCAAGCCAAAACATGCACACAGTTTTCTACAAAACAGCTTCCCCCACTTTCCAAAGCACTGGCCATTTAGTGCAAAGGCACATATTTTTGCAATTACATTAACATTGTACTTTGTCTAATAATGAGACTTTTATGGAAGAATGGGTGCCTTTTTCGGACTATTTAAAGAAATATTATCGTGTGATGAAGTTGCGAGCAGGATTTGAGCTATGAGCAACAGAAGTAATTAGATTATAATATTGTGGTTATGATTTGATAGGAAGAAGGTGGGAAAAGAGGTGGGAAATCGACAAAAATAAGTCAAAAGGCAAAATTGTGTTCTGACTGTATATGTTATAATGTTGCAACTTAATATAATTTTTTAAAAATGCATTAACATGGTGCTTTGTTTTCATCTTCTGCTCATTCAATGCGCATGACAAGAGTCTCTATGCAGACACTAAGATTCATGCTTAGACATCCTTCACACAAGGATGGGATGTCAGTCACATGCAGAAGCTCTACATAGGTATGTTGGCATGTGCACAAAGCAGTCACGGATGGCATGATGGAGCCTGACAACCTCCTTCTGGCTGAGTCACTGCTGGAGAAGGGGAGGGGCAAGGGAGCATTGAAGCTGATGCAGTGCAAACATGATGGCAGAGCTAATCTGGTGCTTCTGCAGGCAGGAGCCTTATCAAGCATCACCCTTTTACATGTGTGGGCCATTGGGTATGTAGGTCCCAGGCACATTGGTGGGTAGTGGGGCTAGTTTAGCCCCTTCAATGCTTCTTCGAATATATGAGGATCATCTGAACACCCTTCAGACTGTCAGCATAGCAGAGAAGCTATTTTTTTAATTGTTTAGGAAATAATACTATAATAAGTAGAAGCTTCTTAAACGTAAAAAAACAAAAACAAAACCCTGTTCTTTTGGGGGAAGTGGAAAGAAAATAAATACAGGAAACAAAGACATGCAAGAAGAATCAAATCAGGATTACCAATATTGAAATTTTAAAAATAGTACAAAGCTTAAATGCTAAGATTTAATACAATATCAAACATTTTGATGCCACCTATAATAATGTATTTTTAAGTTAACGTATAATTTTAACATAATTATAAATCTCAAATTATCAAATTAATTTTCCCAGTCCTAAAGTTGTGAATCCTATAAATTCTTAAACACAAAAATCATTGACTTGGACAAAAACATAAATCATTATCCTTTATTTTAACTTACAACAAAAGAATAACCACTGTGTGTGTGTGTGTGTGTGTGTGCGTGTGTATTTCACCTTGCATTCCCCAATCCTGAAAGTACCACCATTCTTCTTCACATTGTTTAATTTATATCTTCCTTGTTTTACCCAAAGGACCTATGCAACTTTGCCACAGACTCCTAACCCCCATAATTTAACCTAATTTTCCTTCATTTAAGGAACTATTTTTCATTTCCGATTTTTAGCATACAAGATATATGCTGCGGTGATAATATGGAAAAATAAATTTGCTTTATCTCTAGGCAATATTTTTATTAGTTTATATATTTGACACTAATAATTCAAAGACATTATAATGCAGATTATAATGGCAATTTCTGGTAGTTTTATGTAGGAAGTTTATTAAAGCATAGATTTAAAAAATGATTGCAGACACTTTTATTTAAAAATAATTAAAGTTTGCAAATAAATATTTCTTATTTCCCCCCTTGTTTGCAACTGCTAATTTCCTCTTATTTCTATTACGTATTTCAAACTAATTTGCTATTCCAGTTTGTTAGCAGTCGTGCAGGTCAATCATATTTTAAGTGTTTGAATACTGCTTGTAATTCATTGAGCTTTTTGTATATTAAAAAAAAAATCCATTTTGCCAGCTCTCCTGTTTTACAGGACTCTAACACGGTACATAAAAGCAGCTTTAAAAGCAGCTTTGAATGTGGTATTAAATCCTCTGTAATAAAGACCCTTAATATGCTGGGCACCATTGCATAACATCACATAGCACAATACAGCTGGGTAGTTACTGCATTTGAAATTGCCTGTCTTTCACAGCCATCCTTTCACAGCTTGTTAAGGACCTATTCAAAGACCAAGTAGGGTATGGATCAGCATAGCATTGTATTCTTGCTGGTGCTAAGTGCCATACTTCATTTTTAATTAAAGGAGGTTGGGGGGGGGGAATCTAATTTAGTTTTCCTCTGAAAATGAGCTGTTTACTAAGAGTGGAATTCATACCATCTGAATAAAATCTGACTCATTAATGGAGGTCAGGGGTGTGTTGTTCTGCTGTTCTTATTTATTAAATTTCTATCCCACTCTTTCTCCTGAAGGAAGAAAAAAGAGGGACTTGCAACCAAGTGTTGCTGTGTCAAACATTCATGTTCGTGGTTCCAGCCAGCCCTGCCCTTTCCCATGATACTCCATGCCATTCCCACTTGCCCTTGTTTCTGTTCCACACACCACCAGCCTCCAGTCCTGAACATTTGGCATTCTGTGGCCACTGAGCATGCTCAGTACTAGTAAGACTGCTGTGTTCCCCGCTCCCATCCCACAAAGTTATTTTGTACTTTTGCAAACCTCAGTATTCCCTCGAGTCCCCTGGTTGTTTCCTTGTGTGTGTATGTGAGAGCATTTTGGGATTCACAAA